CAGATTTTACTTTCGTACAAAAATTAAAATATCTTAATAGATAGCTCTAAAAGATGACAACTCTGTATGATAACAAAAGGAAGTGCGTAAACGCAAAATGCAGGAGCAGGGGTGGGGTCTCTCCCCAGAGACGGGGAAGACGTTTGCAAGTTGAACTTTTCAAGTTGAACACCTTATTAACAAATACAACTGTAAAAAGTAATTATTAGATTCAGAGGTTGCTATGCGGAAGTCCATGTTAATTAACACGTTCACAGTCCCTCATATAAAGGCTGAAATCAACCCCGTAAGTCCACCAGAATTTGTGTGATATGTGATTTGTGTCTCGGTTATGTCTTTTACAAATTGTTTTCTTATTTCTGAAAAATTACATCTATAATATACAATTCACAAGTTTAAAAAAGTCTGGCTTTGATCTTCAAATTCAATAAAAATATTTGACATTGAAGTAGTATGTAATTGCGATTCTATAGGTATGCGTAAACTTATGGTAAATGTCAATTTGCGACTCCAGCCCAAAATGTAACTACAAAATGCCATTTTTTGTTTCGTCGTTATTACATTGATGAAATTAAAAGGATTACAATTTTTGCAGCGATAATTAAACGACACAAAAAGCTTTATTCGCAACAAAAGAACAAATTACACTAGAGTACATCTTACCGATTCAGAATTCGCAATAAAAAATATAATTTTAATAATGACAACATAGCTCTGTTGACCACGAGAAATATGTCACGGACAAGTTTATCGCATATCGCACGCGATATACCGCCATGCTACGCATGTAGGCGCAATCAAAGACTGTGAACGTGTTAATTTATTTCCATTTTTATTGATCTGCAAAGTATCAAATAGTACGAGTATAGGAAAAACCTAAGAGTTTGGTTTTGGTGAAATTTTGTAAAAAGTCGTGAAAGAAAGGTTGTTGTTGTTTATGATGTTAGTAATATTATAGTCCTGAGAGGTTGTTAGTATTTTACAAATAATATAGGTATGTGTATGTGTATTTTGGTAAGAAAACCTGTTTGGTTATGGATTGACACATTTCCGCCGGAAATTGCTTCCGATGTGTTCCGATACGGGTTTTACGTATATCGGTTTCGTTGTAAATGCAAGGTAACGATTCCTTTTTACGAGATAAGATCTGTTTGTTGACAGGTCACCTTCGCGAATCGAGTTTCCTTTATGAATAAAATATGCAAATAACATTTTTTACTCAAGTCTTTAATCCAGATTACAATAGCAGCAGCTTGTGGAAGACGTTCAGGGAAATACTGCCACCTTACCTATTTGTGCCGTCAAATACCTCTACCTTACTGCGTACCGGTTTTAAAAGGTAAGTAAGGGAGCTTGTGAACTTACAGGCATATGGGACTTATTAATTTATGTTTCAGGGTGATAGATGCAGTGGCAGTGCCTCTCAGATCTTTGAGATTTAAAGCTCTGAGTGGCACTGCAGCTGTTACGGACAGGTGTGTCACTTACTACCAGTAGCACGACTTGTTCATTCCATTCCTTGATATGGTAAAAACATCCACTTAAAGTTAGCAAAGTATTATCAACAATTTTCTTAATACTTCTTCTTTCTCATTACTTTTTGTATTTATTCCTTTTTTATTCTTATTTTTAGTTTTATGCTAAAACTAACGCTTTTAGTAATTGTAGGTTATACGTATGCACAAGGTAACACGCTCCGAAGTTTGAAGAAGCTACCATAAAATTTTATCCTAGCAACGAGTTTGTTTTTAAAATATCACTTGCTACGGTGTCGTAGGTAACGTCTACGAAAAATTGTGCAATATGTTGCGCACTACGTCCGATTATCCGAGAAATAATGGTCAGAAATGTCACCGGGATCATTTTATCTCTACGATATTCATATTTTCTTGGATTCGAATCAGTCTTAGTGCCAAGTGACATCCGAAGTGGGTCCGAGATTTCTAGATTTGTGTAGTCTCGGATTTGGAACGAATATGAACCAGATGCACTGCGCAAACGCGCTCACGGAACAATATATCACGTGTAGCTAGCTGCGTACGCGTTTTGATCAGAAATGCATGTAAATGATTTTGTATTGTAGTATATAGAGTGAAATTTATTATAAAATTTGTTAGTTACTCACGCTTCCCTCAATATACATATATGAGATTTGTAAATTTGTTCGCAATAACCAGAATTTTTTTAAACGCCGTCAAGACATTTCATCAAAATTTTTATTACGTCACAAAAATAGATTAACGATTCCAATGTCAAGATTAACTCTACATTCCTCTAGCCCACATGTCATGGCGATAAAAATTTGTCCTCAACAACCTGATGCACTGAAAAACGAAACTAATTATAGAATATTTTTAAAAATACTAAAAGAATTATTAATGTATAAATGCTATTATGATATTAAAGAATTTTTGAACGGAACTCTTTAACAAAAAGTTCTTGCATTTAAAAACAGCTCTTACTCTCTTCCCTTCTATTTTGTTGTGCCCGAAAGGGTCCATTATGTGTGAACTTACTATTACATAACACCTTGTATACCATTGTGGAACGCAAATAAAGATATTGTATTGTATTGTATTAGTAGTAGAGCTCCTTGTGCAAGACATGTATAAATAAGTATTATACAACAACACATACGTTGCTCTGATCGCAAAATAAGTAGCTAAAGCACTTGTGTTATGGAAATCGGAAACAACAACAGTACCACAGACACCTACACCCGAGACAATATAGACTACACTGGCCGGGGATCGCACCTTCACCCGGACCTCAGAGATGGCGCCACCACAAAAAGCGGTGTGCGAACCACTCGACCACGGAGGTCGACAACACAATACAAAAGAATGAACTGCCACTGTTACTATTTCAGTCGCCCAGCAGTAATGCGAGCATTTTAATTTTGAGGTTTGAAAGGTAAGGGTGCTAGTGAAACTATAGGACTTCTCAAGGTTAGGTCTTAGTTGGAAGTGGCAGCGACCGTCAGGTCTTTGCGATTTGTAGCTCTGAGTGCGCACGACTTTTTGTTTTTTAAAAAGTATCACTAGGGAAAACCTGTATCACAGGTGCCATGGACACACACATAGGCAGACAATCACAAATTACACCCAAACTCACGAGAGAATTAAATGTAGGCCATATAAATATTTCTCCCGGCCCGGGAATCGGACCCGGGACCTCAGCATGGCAGTCCTGTATGGTAACGGAGGCAGTTTATCCCTTCACTTGATATCAATCAATCAATATATTTATTCGTTGTCATAGGTCATAACATAGGGTGTACAGGTTAATTCAACACAGCTATGATGCATCTCTTACAGAGGTCTACGAACATTTTAATGTAAAATCTAATTACTTTAGAAAATATCAAATTATACAATTTAAGGTCAAGTAAGAATTCTATTCGATGTAAAGAGAATATTTTAATTCATTCCGTTTTGTAATATTAAATTATAAGCGTATAAATAATAATTCACACTGTATTGTCATTTAAATATTCATCAACCGTGTAAATAGCATTTTTAGTTAATAGCCTTTACAATTCCCTCCTGAACGTATCCAAGGAGAGGATTTTTAACATTTGTGGCAGTTTATTGTAGAGTTAAGGCACCATGTTAAGGGCGCTTTTTTTATTAAGAGCTGTTTTACAAGGGATGGAGCCAGTGGTAAATATTTGATTTCTAGGGCGTAGATTAAATCCCAGACCAAGTGTTTATTTCCTGTTGAGTTCAGGGTTAGATTTTAGAAATGTACATGATATCGAGTTCTTAGGTTGTCGCGATTGTTACACATAGGAAATGAAACTGTTTTTCCAGATTTAAATCGCGTATATTTGTTTTTTCAAACAAACCGACATTTCGGGTCCTTTACAGGTCCCATTCAACCGTGACCATGGTAAATGTACATGATTCCAATATGTACAGAGTTGGGAATGTTAGCACTTTTAACCGTTTAAAGAATGGCCGACAGCTGTCAGCAGATCTAAGGCCGCAAATAGATTGTACAAATAAATTTCCTTATTGTATAGCTTTACGTGGAGCAGGTCCAATACGAGTAGGAAACTTCGCACGCCTTTGACGACTTGTGTAAACCTTCAATGTGGAATTTATTGAATCTTATTTACTTGATATTCAAAAAGCAGGAAAAAAGTACACAAAGTTACATATGTTACAGTTACGTAGTAAATAATATAATACGTGAAAACACTATATTATTGTTTCAAATGAGCAAACTTTGCACATTATAATGTTTTAAAAAGGTTGAACATCCATTAATGTTCCCACAATCCCCTGAAAACAACTGAAAGCTCGTTTACGATTTTCAGTTTCGGGCAGTAGGAGCGCGAACCTCGCGGCGACCGCACGCCCATCCCTCGACGCGTCCCGAAATAAATATCACTTGTAAATATACAAAAAAAAAAACTATTTACAAAAATAATGCATCAAATAAAGATATCTATATTTCACGCATAGTTATTTCAAATATATTATATATTTATCAGTGTATGTAGCATAGGAAGTTCAACAGGTGTTGTTTTGTCGGTAACATTTGGTGTTGCACGTTTATGATAATACAAAACTTTGTTTACAATTGTTACGATAATCTGAATGTGGCGTTTGTACAGGTAACTTTATTTGTATATGTGATTTCAGCAAACTTGTTAAAGTGTATTGTTAGTTCGTGAATACGGTTAATTAATGTTTGATGTAACTTGATGTCAATTAACAGTAAAAGTGTTTCGTCGTCAATATTCCATTGTATTAAAATTTAATAACATTTGCAGTGGTAGCAAACATTTTATTAAATACCATATCCGGTGTCATAAATCTCTAACATAAACAAGTTTTATTCAAATTAAATTAAATAGCTTTTATCCCTTCTTCAAATGTAATTTAATAAATGAAATCCGGTTTTTATAAAAAATAATTCTGAACTGGTTAACGAAGGTGTATCATCTGCAAAGATTTATTTGTTGACATTGGTGTGATGGGATGGTCGGTTCACCGGATAACTGGGTACGCAACGAGCGATTCGAGTTTTGTTTGTGGTAAGTGATCCAGATGTAACAAACTCCGTTTCCATTTCAATTAGGTCTGCAATTTGATTGAATAAACAACGGTGTTAAATTCGGACTCGGTTGATTAAGAATTGGTAAAAGGATTATGGTACAATCCAATTCAAAATTGTCATTTTTAATATTTATTTTTAAATATGTACGTAACGGAACGAATGACAATTTATAACATTTATCTGCACACATATCATAAACCACTCTATGATGTGTTCAAAAACTGCAAATTACGACCAGCATTTTATCATACGTATTTATTTATCTTTAATAAACTGTTTTGTTAGAACAAATTTCTTATGTGAAAATGTTATTATTGCTTCATAATAACATGGAATTCGATTTTATTATGACATTCAAATTTCGAACTTCTCTGAGAAACAAAACAATTTGATTCCACAATTTCAATTTGATATCGAACGATACGATAGTTGGGGCTGACTCTAGTTTGTCTATGAATTAAATAAAAACTACGGCTGTGTGACATGCGTGAGAAAAGTTTTTATTTGCCACCATTTCTCCAGTCTAATATGCGGTTCCTGAACACATATTTATATTTAGGCGCCGGCTGAAAGACTTTTTCTTGAAAAATCCTATATACTCTGTAAAAGAATTAATGGACTTTAAATTGTAACGAATTCAGTATTTTCTATTTTAATATTTTTATTCTAATTTTTACCGCATTAACATGCTCTTGTATAATTATCAACTTATGACGATCCTTGATGGAGAATGATATCCGATATGTAATTTAATGACAACAATATTATATAATGAATTGTTAATTTTCTAATTATTGTGTGCTTTTCTTATAATTTTCCTTTTTGTCTGACGATCTCAATATAATTTCTTATACTTGACATGTAATGCAATTTATACTGTAATGTTATATTTGAGAAATAAATGAATCTGAATCTGAATCTGAATCATAATAGAGATCTTATAATATATGTATAGATAAAGTAGTGTATGTAGCTGTAAATAATTACGCATTAAACCACTCACTCGTGTGATGTTTTTATGAAACTCGCCTGTCGGCTTGTTTCACAAGCCCACACTCGTATTTTAATGCTTTTCATTATGTAACAGTCACATAAACTACTATGGTAGTTACAACACTTAGAGCGATTACACGGCGTTAATAGCGAATAGATTTTTCATTAATCATCATACAAAACAGAAAAATATCTTGTTTATCGTCAAGTACTTTATGTCCATATATTTTGGGGTCGGCCCTCTTAGTTCTCGTGCGCCACTCTGAACGCCTTAGCGTAAGCTTAGGGTCTACATTAGGGCTCCATTCCGCGAATTGCGATCTCGGAAATAGCGACAGTATCGACGATTTTATGGCGTTTTCGAGATTCGAAACTGAAGTTTTCAACCTCTAGAATACTTGAGACTTAAGTCACTTCTTTAAAAAATAATAAAAATCTACTAAACCAACATAATTTTTATTTCACCATGGCAACACTATAGAGTGGAGCTTACTATTATAAACTGTGAAGGTTAAAGAGTGGTAGTGACAAAATCAGGTCCTGAAACTGTATTTTAAAGGCCTTTTGTTTCTTACGTATCCAACGTATAAAATGAAAATTTAACTTTCGTATTATAATTTGAGTTAATAAAGAACTAAATTCAAATATCATGTTTTGACTGCCTAAATGCCTTGCATATAAGTATTGAAACCTACTATGACTGCAATGACTGCGCCCTAACCAAAATCCACCTTAAAATTTTTCTTACCTTTATATTCAAATGATTAAAGGCGTGTTCAAATTAGCCGCTGTTAGAAGCGCTGCAGCGCTTTTTTGTGATGTTTCATCTTTTGACTGAGTTACGAAAAATATTTGTAAATAGTTTTTGCCTGGTTTACGGCTTTTTATGGGATTTTTACGTTTATTTAACACTTGTATTCAGAACCAAAAGCTATATAGTTAAGGAGATCAGCGTTCTTGGGGCATACACTTCACGTATAGATATTAAAAATTATTCACCTGCTATGTTTTTTTCAGTTATACATAGTTTCAGTTTCAAAATTGTCAACAAATTTTTGATGTAAATTTTCCCATAGCTTTTTTAACCAGTCGATTGGAATAACTGGCGAAACTCAATCCCATATTGCAGGGTGTTGTTTTACATTCTCTATAAATTCTTCAATTCGATTTTCACCCATCGTGGTTAATTTGAAAAATTAACATGTACACCTCACTAACCGTGACTGCAACCGAGCGTGACTGCAGCGCGACAGTCGCGCGGCCGTCGCGCGGCCCCTGGGTGGTTGCAGCGCTTCTAGATGTTATATGAAAAGTGATAGCGCTGCTGCAGCACGTCTAACAGTGGCTAATTTGAACGCGCCCTAAGTCTCAGTAGAACCGTTACCATGAAGAGCTTTCATTAAGTTTAAATTGAAAATATCTACGTTTCATAGGAAAGTAAATTATATTTGAAATCGTCAAACTCATTTTAATTTAATAACGCACACACTCATATTCTCGCAATAGGGACACCCTGCTTCGCGGGTGCCATGGACACGCACATAGACAACCACAAATTACACCCAAACTCACGAGTTAAATAAATGTAGGCCATACAAATATTTCTCCAGACGAGCATGGTAACCGTTTAGCCACGGAGGCAGTTTTTGGCAGTGATTATACATAATTCATTCATAAGGCAGACTCCTCTTAAGAATATTGATTAAGAAACTCTAGGAATTGCTTGCAAATAAACACTTCTTAATATTTATCATTTATTATATTTATTAGAGCTCCTTGTGAAAGAGTTCGTCCAGGGAAATACTGCCACCTTACCTATTTCTACCGCCAAGCAGTAATGTCAGCATTACTGTGTTCCAGTTTTGAAGGGTAAGGGTGCTGGTAAAATTACAGGCACATAGAACTTGTCAACTTATGTCTCCGGGTGACGGGCGCAGTGGTGGTACCCCTCAGATCTTTGCAATTTAAAGCTCTGAATGGCACTGTAACTGTTATGGACAGGCCTGTAGCTTGCCATCAGGCGCACGATTTGTTCGTCCCGTCACTAGATGTTATAAAAACAATTATACATGGCAACATCTAAGCGTGTCACGCCCACGGATTTATGTCACACACAGAAGCAATATAATAATAACTTTTTGCATAAAGATTTTGTTTCACGATAGGTTTCAGATAGACGGACAAAACGTTTATTCAGCACAAATACAAGCAAAAACAAACATTTACAATCACTTAACAGGGTATAACACAAAAGCACAGCAAATTTGTACACAGCGGTATAAACACATAACATAGAGAAAACAACATAAATTTTGTAATGATCTTTTTTTATTTGTTGTGTACATCCAGTGGTACATGCGATATGTGTGTCCATAACAGATGCAGTGTCATTCAGAGTTTTAAATGACAAAGATCTGAGGAGCACTGCCATTTTGCCCTTATCACCCCGATACTTAAGTTGACAAGTCCTATGTGCCTGTAATTACACCAGCATGCCTAACCCTTCCAAACTGCAATGCAGAAATATGAGCGGTACTTCCCGGGACGAACTATTTGACACGGAGTTCTACTGCCAATATATGGTACCTATTTGCTACAGTTTCTGCTGAAGTGGCCCTGACTCAGACATGACATGACATTTATAGTAGCAGTAGAGCTTGTGAAAGAGTCCGTCCAGGGCAGTACTGCCACCTTACCTATTTCTGCACCCAAGCAGTAATGTGAGCATTGCTGCGTTCCAGTTTTGAAGGGTAAGGGTGCTGGTGAAATTACAGGCACATGGGACTTGTCAACTTACGTGTCACGGTGACGGGCGCAGTGGCAGAGCCCCTCAGATCTTTGCGATCTAAAGCTCTGAGTAGCACTGCAACTGCTATGGACAGGTGTGTCGCTTACCACCAGGCGCACGACTGTCACATGGTGTTATAAAAAAACTAGTCATATCTTGGTGAATAACTTTTGAGTTTATAACGGTCCGCGCTTTCACAAGTAGAGCTTACCTTTATGTTCCGGCACTTACTACGTAGTAACGTTTCAATCTAAAAGATCAAAATGCAAAACGTATATAATTTTCATAAAAGATTCTACGTCGCAGGAAAGCCCCGAGGGCGGTGAAAACCCGACTTTAATTCTGACTTGAGTCCTGCAAACGTGTGCTGCTAGGACAATAAAGCATTTATAAAGTAACTAGCTACAAGTTATCACCATTCTAATGTTGGCGTCACAATACTGGCTGAATGAAGAAAAAGTGTCAGATTTCTCGCAGATGGCGCTATGGTGAAAAAATCGTTACAAACCAAAATAAAAGATCTGCAATAAGCACTTAAAAAGATTCATAAGGTCGTTCGTTGGTTTGTTTTGTAGCACAGTAGAGAGTTGCAATGTTGCAATACCATTCAGTAATCTTTGACATAGAAAAATAATCCAATTCTGTAAGTGGTACCTACTCCGCACTCTATTCAAATTTCAGTTATTTTCAAATAAGGATGTTGCCAATTTCCTTCTAAAAGTAAGCTTAGATCTTGCAATCGGAACCAGTGTATGAAATTTTCGAAAATCTACGGGGTTAACATGTAACAGGGCAGTTATTGTTAAATTTTCTGTGAAAATAAATATCATCATACTCGCATGTGAACCCTGCGTGATCAAATATTTGTAGGAATAAGACCGAAATCTTTCTCTGGGCGATCAACTATACATACAAAAAACACAATTTTTTGTTTTCATTCCACAATTCCCAGTGCCTACAATAAAACGACACATACCATTGTAAAGTACACACATTTTTGTATAAATCTAGGCTTGTATCATTTATGTACGCCGTGGGAAAGGTTTTTATACCTTGATGGGCCATGATCTTTAAGATTCGCGTATAAATTCCGCAAAACTTTAGAGGTTTTGAACCTACGTCCTCTGTTATAGAGGCAGTAGATCAAACCACTTAGGCTATCACGGATCAGTGTTAGAATTAATACATAAAGGCAC